AAACTAGGACTGGAAGTCCCATTTGACCCCACTATTCCACTGCTGGGGATCTTCCCCAAAGAATTAAAAGAATCATATCACAGTGATATATGTGCACCCATGTTCATAGCAGCGCAGTTTGTAATAGCCAAAACTTGGAAGCAGCAAAAATGCCCATCAACTGGAGACTGGATAAAGAAAATGTGTTTATTTTTTTGTTTTTCTTTTTTTTGAAGGTATAAAATGGCCCTTTACTTTCTGAAATGATGTGCAACTCCACTCAGAAAGGAGATGTGTTAATGAAAGCTTCACTAGATGCCATTTCTCATATCGCAATGGCAAAATCTAGTCTAATGCCACATGCAGCTAGGAAGGCTCCAGGAAGAGGTCAGACACTCTCATAAACCTCTGATGGAACTACATACAGTTTCAACCCTTATGTGGAGAAATGTGGTAGTGTCTAGCCAAGCCACATACACCACTGCCTCTAAATTTACCTTGAGGTTTGTTGGGAGCAATGCTACATAATTCTGGGGAAAAATCATTTGAGTAGGCCTAGTTCTCCTGCCTAGAGGCCAGCTATAACACTCCAAGACATAATTCCATTTTGGCCTCAGGTCACAAGGAAGATCTCAATGATCCCAAGATGGTGTAATGCTCCAGGACAAGACCACACCTGCAAGAGACACCCTGGGAGGAACCAAATCTTCATCTGTGTAGTTCCTGGGAGGAACTAAATCTTCATCTGCATAGTTCCTCCTTGTTCTTAGATTTCCCCCACCCCCACCCAGTCTTTTGTTACACCTTATTCATCCCAATGTGATACTAAAATCTACATATTCTTTTGTTACATTTGTTTCTTCTGATGTACTAAATAAAAGGTGCTGCAAGCTAGGGCATCTAGTCTTTGCCTCCCAGAGCAGCACTGATCAGACCCAAAGCTCAGCTTCTCAGTCTCATTTGTCTACCTTTCCTGTAATTCGACGTGTGCTGCCATGGCTCACAGGAGACTAGGACTTACTGCAGAGGTTCTGGTAATGTCGCCTTCCCCTGTTCCCTACAGAGGTTTACTTCTCACACTCACACAACATTAAATCATTGTGGTGGTGTTTGTAATCATAAAATATTGAAAACCAAAAGGCCCATGAACAGGAAAGTGGTCAAGTAAACCACTACTAGGTCCACACAGTGGACATGACACAACTATTTTTTTTTTTTTGGTACTGGGGATCAAAGTTGGGTCCTTGTGCTTGCGCAGCAGGCGGCAGAACCACTGAGCTAAATCCCTGGCTCGACACAATTATTTTTAAAATAAAGATTCCACAATCACCATGAAATTGTTTCAGAATACGTGAAGTGAAGAAAGCAAGGTGCAAAAAGCAAAACACAAAGTAGTCCAGCACATGATTGGTGAGGAGGAGGAGGAGGGGGAGGAGATACCCCTGTGGGTGTTCTGTGCTGCAAGAAATGCAGGAGGGAGGGCCCAGGAAATGGTGAGAGCAAGCGGTCACCTCTGCCCCAGGCTGGGGGTGAGAGGGCAGCTAGAGAATGAAAGGGGAGGCGCACTCAGCTAAGTTCAGATTTCTGCAGCAGTGTTAATGCTTCACACAACAGTAAAACAATTCTCAGCCAAAGGAACAAAATCGGTAACAATGGGAGGGAACCCTAATGTGGAATGAAAATGAACCAAAGAAAATGGTTTTTTTAATAAAATGGAGTAGTACTCAACCATAAAAAATGAGAAATTAGAGACATTTATAGCTAAGTGGATGCACATTGAGG